GAGAGGAAGTGATGTCTTTGAATTACTGTGTTGGGGAAGAATATTGAGTGTACCACGGACTGCCAGAAGAACAAACATCTGCCTGGAAGAAGAGCAGCTGGAATGCTCCTTAGAAGCAAGGACGGTGAGGCTTTGTCTTACATGCTCTGGCCATGTGAGGGACAGTCCCTGGAGGAGGACATGCTGGTGGAGCAGGTCAGCACAAGAAGGGGAAGGCCCTCCCTGGGATGACTGTCGTTCTGGCCGCAGTAAGGGCTCCAGCCTGGCAACGCTTGGGAGGATGGCGTGGGGCTGCAGAGCGTTGTGTTCTGTTGAATGTGGGGTCGCTGTGATCTGGAACCCACTCAGTGACACAGCAGCAGCAGCAAGGGGGACCCCACGAAGTGCTGACTCCCCACAAATGCCCAGCTTGTATCATCTGGCCCATGGGTGGCCACTCAGAAAGCCAGATGCAATACCCTGTTAGTGTGGCATTTCTCCCTGTCCGTAAGGGGAGGGCAGCACAATGAGCAGAGTCTAGTGTGAGGGGATAGGTAAAGCAGAGGGTCAGCAAGAAAGAAGATTGACCCAGTGGCTGCAGCCGCAGGCTCAGAGCTAGTGAGGATTGGGAGGATGGACAGGGACCGGGCAGTGTTTGTTTCTTTGGTCTGTGGGGTCGCTGTGGGTCAGGACTCACTTGAATGCACCTAACAACAGCAGGACCGGGCAGTGTTCTTTCTGTTGTCCGTGGAGTTGCTGCGAGCCGAACTGACTTGACCGCAACTGCGTGTAGGTTCACCGTGTGCTCGTTAACCGGAAGACGGTCCAGGCCAGGAACAAACATCGCTGTCAACAAGTCTCTCCCCTCACGTCCACGTCCAATCTACCACTGAATCTTTTCAATATAAAGTCATTTTTTTCATTGTAAAATTATAGAACGTGACATTTTTCAGTTAAACTTCTCTTGGTGTGTAATTTAGCGACCTCAGTGATGTTAGTCAGGTTGCACAGCTGTCATCCACGATCACTGCAGAATGTTCCTTCCCCTTAAACTTGCTGCTTCCACAGCAGACCCTCTCCCTCACGAATCCTCAGTTTTGGTCTCTCTGCATTTGCCTTTTATGTGATTTCGTATGGGTCAGCCCCTATGGTACCTCACCTTCGGAGATGGACTGACTTCACTCAACATAAGGTGGTACAGTGGTTAAGCACTTGGCTGCTAACCCAGAGATTGGTGGTTAGAGCCCACCTAGCAGCTCCAAGGGAGGAAAGACCCAGCAGTCTGCCCCCATAGAGGTGACAGCCTGGAAAACCCTATGGGGCAGTTCTTTGTCACATGGGGTCGCTGTGTTGGGATCGATTCCACGGAACCTAACAACAATAACATTTTCAAGGTCCACTGAATCTTTTTTAGCACCTAAATATGGTCCTGAAGCTACCCTCGCCTCTCTCTCCTCTGCCAGGCTCACGGTTGCCGCCTCGGCCCATCCGACTGTCACCTTTTGAAGCACTTCGCCTGGCCCGCTGCCTGCTCTCCTCTCCCATCTCCTGTCCCTTCTCTAGTCTTTCCTCTCTTTCCCATCTTGCAGCCTAAAGGATCCTCTCACAGCACCCCACCCCCCCAGAGGCTTCATGGTGTCACTTTATATGTCCGGGGCCATTGAGTCCCATAGGTCTCCCTTGCTGATGCCCTGTAGGGGTCCCTATAGTCTTGATGGGACCCGATCACCAGGTCTTTTCTCTCACAGATCCTCCAGGTGGCTTAAACCACCAAAGTTCTGTTAGCAGCCAATCACAAACCGCTGCATCACCAGAGCTAACGATATAACACCAGAGCTGCTGGTGTTCATAATGATCGTACTTCTGATTGAGGCCTGCAGATAGGGTCGCCCTGTAATTTACCATTCAGACCCAGGGTGCTTTGAATGTGAAGGGGGTGCCACTGGCAGGCAGGGCTGATGTGGAAGCAGGGACGAGAGCGTGCCCTGACTGCAAAGCCTGGCCCTGCTCGTCCTGCCTCCGTTTTGCTCTCCACACCAGGGGCACGGCTGTTTTCCAGACCTCCGCACTTCCCAGGGTCACTCGCCACACTGGCTTCCAGCACAGGATGTTTGCACCTGCTCTTATCTGAGCGAATGACCCCTGCTGACTGTCTCGCTGTCAGGTCCTGCATCCCTTCCCATCACCTAGGCTGTGTTTCCTTACTACAGCCTCCTCTCATACTCCCAGCTGCAATTTAATTTATCCATGCCTTTACTGGCCTGGATAAATGAAGGAATGCAGGTAACTTTGTGTTCCAGTTATGGTGGAATCCAGTTATCAACACAGTGGTAGAATAAGCTCTGTGTTTTTAAATTCTGTGTGTTCAGTACAAAGCAGTTAGGTACGTGTGTGCCATAGTTTAATGTCTACTGTATTTTCATTAGGAATACTATTAATATGCTATTTACTCTGTAATTTGTTAAACATTCAGGAATTCAATTTAAAAATCTAATTTACCAATCCCAGAAATAATAAGAAATTTGAAGTCAACAGATGGGCCCTTGAGTAGAAAGTCCCTTACTGAAAAATGGTGACATTTTGAGTCTTAACGTATAGATGGGCGGGCTCTGGGTTTATATGGTATGGGTTTAAATCTTCGTGACCTTGAGTAGGCTCCTTAAACTGTCTGTGCCTCTTTTTACCCATGTGTAAAATGGGTATGATAATGACGTGTGCCTTACAGGGCTTTGGTGGGAATTGAGTTAATACTAACTAGCGAATGCTATTGTTTGTATTATTGTCGTATTTTTTAATTCAAGATACCTGTTGAATAACACTTCTGTTCTTTGCGTTGTTCTAGGTGCTGAGAATTCAGAAGTAAGAGGGGGATGTAGTGGGGTGTAATCATAAAATGTAATTTCAAAATCTGATAAATCCTGTGAATTAGATAAGCAATGATTTGTTGGAGTCTCTGGGTGGTGCAGACGGTTAAGGAGCTCCAGTGCAAACAGCAAGGTTGCAGGTGCGAGTCTGCCCGTAGGCACTGTGGGAGACAGGCCTGGTCGTGTGGGTCCTGAACAACGGGCCATTGAAAATCCTACAGAGTTCAGGTCTCCCAGGGCACTCACGGGGTGCCTGAGTCAGGAGCCACTGGACAGTTGTTTGTTTTCTTCTGTTTAATGGCTTGTTGGGGAGCATCGAGGGGCTTTGGGTAGCCTGAAGGGTGAGAAGGGGCTGGGCAGCAACTTCCCGGCCGAGGAAAGAGCCAGGGGGCTGAAGCCCCTCGGCAGGAGAGGACTCAGCCTGGTTTTCAAAGTGGAAGGACCCAGCGTGGCTGGAGTGTTACACGTTACTGGACAGAGTAGGGGCTGGGAAGATAGACAGGAAGGCGGTATGCAGGTGGGCCACGGAGAGGTAGCAAAGTGAGAAGTCACCCAATTGTGATAATTTTGCTGATGAAGAAACTGAAACCATGTGTCCCGATCAGGTACCTGTGGCTGACGAGTGATGACACTAGAGCTAGAAGCCATGTAGCCTCCGTGTCTCTGTGTGTGAGATCTCACGGAAATACGTGCACAGAAATTGACCAAATCGTGCATAGAGCTCTGTACAGTTCCACAAAGTTAACATACCCTTGTAACTATAACAAGAGACACATCCCATCCTGCTTTCCGTAAGCTGTGGAGTTCCACCCGTCGCTGTGGGCATAGCCATCCAGACTGGCCTCCGGCCTCATAGAGCCGTTTTGTCAGTTTTGAACTTCTGAATGCAAGCGTGTGGCTTAATTTTATGTTTTCTTTCTGGCTTCTTTCACTCAACATTGTGTCTCTGAGATTCTTCCATGTTGTTTATGTAACGATAGTTACTTGTTAGGTGGCGTTCAGTTGTATAACTGCACCAAACTTCCTACAGTTACACCCCTTCGAAAGTCACTACAAGAGCCTGTCTTGTGAGGTGAAGGCTGGGTGGCCAGCCAGTCATCCGTGTGTATGCTCATCTTGTTCTGGTCATTTGTTTCCCCAGCGGAAGGTTACGGGTGTTGCTCGGGTACAGCCTAGGTATGTACCCTGGACTGTCACTGTGAACACAGGTGGCCTGGCTGGAAGCAAAGGCTTGCAGGGCAGGGCTGATCTCTGACAGCTAATGTCAGTGGTCAGGAGCCACAGCTCGGGTGAGCCTGTCAGTGGGGCTGTCACTCTCAGCTTGTAGCTTTTTGAAATACCATCCAGAGATACTGTGTGCTTCAAGGGTCAAGGATTATTTGCTACTTAATTGCTTAATTGGGCCAACTAGCTATCAATTCTACTTGTTAAAAATTAAGTCTTTTTTTTTTTTTCAACCTTTATTTATTTTTTAAATTGTGATTTGGATGAAAGTTTACAGAGCAAATTGGTTTTCCAGTCAGCAGTTCATACATGTTTTGTTTTGTGACCTTGATTGCAGTCCTTCCCCACTCCCCAAGTAACAAGGGAGCTCTGGTGGCGTAGTGTCTAAGGCACTTGACTGCTAACCAGAAGGCTGGGGGTTCAAACCCACCAGCCACTCCTCGGAAGGAAGGTTGGGCAATCTACTTCCGTAGTGATACTGCCTCAGCAACCCAAAGAGGGGTCGCTATGAGTCGGGTCCGACTCGATGGCACGTAACAACAGTGACCATGTAACAATGCTCTGCCCACTTCCTCCCCGTGTTCCCCTTTCCCTTCGTCCTTCTTGCCTGTCCCTTCCTGCCGTCTGAGCTGTGTCACTGAACAGATGCTGCCCTTTGGATCTCGTAGGATTGACCTAATGAATCAGCCCACCCTGGAGTTCTTGTTCGCCTTATAGGAGCTCTGGTAGCATAGTGCCTGAGGCACTTGACTGCTAACCAGAAGGCTGGCAGTTCAAACCCACCAGCCACTCCTCAGAAGGAAGGTTGGGCAATCTACTTCCGTAGTGATACTGCCTCGGAAACCCAAGGAGGGGTCGCTATGAGTCGAGTCCGACTCAGCGGCACATAACAACAACCACCACCACCACCACCATTTGGCTGAAAGCGGAGCCATGGGGGGTGTGGCTTCAATTTGATCTTTTCAAATGATTAATTTATTAATTGGATGAATGCCATTTTCATCTGTAACTCCTCAAGTTCCTTTTTTTGTTTTTGGACTGTTTCAGATGACGTTGCCCCGTATTTTAGGACGGAGCCGGGCCTGCCGCAGACTCACTTGGAAGGAAACCGCCTTGTTCTTACCTGCCTCGCTGAAGGGAGCTGGCCGTTGGAATTCAAGTGGATGCGTAACGACAGTGAGCTCACCGCCTACACCAGCGAATACAAGTAATGTCTGCTTAAAATAAGATTCCATTTCAGGGATGTGTTCACAATAGTTGGCTTGGTAGCCCTCATAGCACAGAGGGTGAGCATATTGGATGCAATTGCTAATGCACTGAGGATTAAAGAGACTGATTTGAACGGGAGATTAGAATGTGGTGTACCCTCCTGACGTGGGTTCCCTTCATGCCCAGAAGTCTGTCGTGTTTGTAAAGTGAGGCACAAAATCTACAGTTAGAGAGGGACGCAAATAACTGCTTTAACGCACCCGACTGGCTTCTGTGGCCACGGCCCCACCCCAAGCACTGGTCGTACCTGACAAGCACGAAGGTCAAGCAGAGGCCTTGGGTCCTAGCTTCAGGGGCTCTGAGTGCCCAACAAACAACTTCCTGGTTCCGCTTTGAACCGAGAGAGGAAAAGACAGGACCACAGGATGTGGCACTGAGCTGCGCAGCCACACCCTGCCCCAGGGCCCTGTGCTTGTTGGCCCTGCCTTGTGCCAGGCACCGTGCTGGGCGTTAGGAACGGTGTGAAACGTGAATGTTGGACGGAGCAGCAGGGCTGAGGTCAGGGGAGGTCGGTGCAGCCCCAGCCAGGGACCAGCACCACTGCTGTCCGTCCTCAGGGTCTGCTTACGAGGCTTACGCGCTTACAGGTTTGCATCCGTCCCACTCCTTTCAGCTGTTACCCTAGTGTTGCAGTTCCGAGTAGGGTGGAAAATCGGCGGCTGCCTGGAAGTCCACGAGGCCCAGGTCAGCAAAGCCAGCAACGCCCTGCTCTTCAGTGGAAGCAGAAAGGTGACCGGCTGTGTCACGGCTGCTGTTGAGCTGCCCCGGCCCACAGCGCTGCCCTGAGAGTCAGGGGAGAACCGTGCTCCAGGGGCTTTCGGTGCTGATCTTGGGAACTGGATTGCCAGGCCTTTCTTCTGAGGCACTGCTGGGTGGACTCAGACTTTGGTCATCAGCCTGGTGTATTAACTGTGCACATCACCCACTGACTCCCTTGGCCAGATAGAGACACTTTAAAGAGAACAGTGATCTTTACAACGTTGGGAAACACCCACACTCACGTTTTGGTCATCAGCCTAGTGTATTAACCGTTCACATCACCACTGACTCCCTTGGCCAGATAGAGACATTGTAAAGAGACCAGTGATCTTTACAACGTCGGGAAACACCCACACGCTCACTTCGTCTTGAAGGTTGCAATATGGTGGTCCTGGAAGCAGAGTGAGCTTGCCCAGGATGTGTGTATACGCGTACGTGTGTGTATCTGTGTGTGTATCTATTTTAAAACAATCAATTTATGTATGGGGGTGTGTACAGCATACATATATTTTAATTGATTGGCAGCATTTAAGAATCGCAGGGTCTTATAGAAAAAGCCTGTCCCCAGCTCCCCTGGAACACTCTGAAGCACCGACAATCTGGGGTCTCCACCCCACAGACCTGCATAGAAGCCGACTGGGCAGCGCTGCCCTTTGGAAACGGCAGGAGCGCTGGTCCTTACCAGCCCTGCTGATCCCCCCTCCTCCTAATGTCATGGCTGCTGTGCTCATGGCCATTGTCCACTTGCCCTTCATGGTTGTAGGTGTTTGGGGGCCTCCTGCATCCCCAGGCCTGCACTGGCAGACCGTCTGCCTTTGTGGGAGCAATAGGTCATAATGGTTAACAGCACACTGAATGCAAACAACCCTAGGTTTGAATCCCCAATCTCCTGCCTGTTAGCATTAGTGTTAGGACCTTGGGCAAGTTCCCTGTCGTCCCGCTTTGTTGTTGCTGGGGCCATGGCATCGATTCCCACTCACAGTGACCCCATGTGACACAATGCCAATGCACCGTGGGGTTTTCTTGGCCTCAGTAAGGAACTGCAGAGTGGGAACAATGTTGCCTTATTTTTGGTGGCGTGAGCATTCAGGAGATCTTATGCCTGTCAAGATAAACAGTCTTTTAAAAAGTCCTCAGCCACGTTTTATCTTGTGACAATAGGATCGTGTGGGAGCCAGTTTGTTGGGAGACTTAGAAATGAGAACCACCCATGAGTAATGGACTCTGAGGGAAAATGGCCTGTGTTCAGATACTTGCTACTCAGTGTATGACTTGTGTGACTCTGGACAAGTTTCCTCACCATTTGTATTTTACTTTCCTCTTCAGGGAAATGGGTATACTGAAATGTGTCTCAGAAGGTTCTTGTAGATTTTATGTGATATCAAGGTTGTGTGACCAGGAGAAAAGGAATGGGGTTTCAGAAGGATCCAGATTGTTCTTCCTAACAAAGAGAGCAGTGACGGATCCTCTGTGGTATTTACACTCGGCACCAGCCATGGACTGCTGTGGGGGAGTTGTCTCGTAGGTCTCCCATGTCCAGGTGTGGACTTCCTGAATGAATCTACCCAAGAACCCAGTTTGGTCTAGCCATTATTCCAGTTCTCTTTCCTGTCCCTGCCCCTCATTTGGCAGAAGACAGGCACACTTCTTCCCTATCTGAGTCTTCCTGTGGGATTGCTGCTTGGGGATGTAAGTTGAACACACCCAAAATATTGGGCTTCAAGAAACCCATCTTAGGGAGTTCAGGTAAGATGGTGGAATAGGTAGAAAGACCGTACAGACCTCTTCAACAAAGAAAAGGGGAACCAATTCACACAGATACAGAAGACAATCCTGGACCCCTGAGCCTTGAAGGGAAGGATACAGACGTGGACTAAACTCCAACTTGCAGAAGAATTTGCATGAAACACCAAAAAAAGGAGACATACGGAACTGTGGTCTGGCAGTGATCCTGAGTGATCCTGACGGCATAGACAGCTTGGATATTGCTGAGTGGTGGTAGGACCTAAGAATTAACCTAAAAATAATCCCTGCTAGCCAGGGACTGAACGGAGGACTGCTCTGGTGGCTGGAGAATAAAAGGGGAGGCAGTGAAGAGGATGGCAGACTGAGCTGTGGACTTTTGTCTGTCTGGAGGGCACAGCCATTTTGAATGTTTACAAGTGGCTTAACAATTTTGGATATTTAATGTGCCAGCATTCTCCCAGATTCCAGGGACTTAAGAACATGCTCCACTTGCCAGTTACCCCAAGGACAATCTGGACCCGGATGACTGGAAAGGTACGACATTCCCCTTGTTCCTCTTAGACCCCACACCCCTTGGTGAATGGAGATGCGGCCATCCCTCACTCCCACCCACCTTCTGGGCCCACAGAAACTCCACCCCAGTCTGTGTGCTTGGTTGGAGCCTGGGTGCCCTCTCCTGCCCTCCCCCGATTTTTTTTCTTTCTTTTTTCTGTTTTGTAGTTTGCTTGTTTTTGTCTGTTTTAAAACTACTATTGTTACTATTACTTTTGTCATTTTTACTATTATTCTTTATTCTTCCCCTCCCAGGTCCTAGTTCTCAGCTTTTTTCTTTTCCCTGTTCCTGGTTGCATTTTTTTTTTCTTTCTTTCTTTCCTTGTGGTTAACCACTTTCCTTGTTTTTCCTTTTGCATTTTTCCCATTTTTTTCTTCATTATTCTCCTTCTCTAACTTTTTTCTCTTACTACCCTCTCCCCAGATATTGCAGGTTTTCTTTTTTTCTTCTTCTTCTTCTTTTTCCTTTTTTTCTTTTTTTGGTTACTGTTCCTGTGTGATTACATGGTGTATTTTTTGTCCATGTCCTTATACTTTTTTGATGGTTATTCAATTGTTATTTTTGTCTAACAGAGTAGAAGTCCGCAACAGTCCCCATACAACAGAACTACACCCACACCTCAGCTTCACTTACTGAGTGAGAGCCACCACTTCCTTCTCCACCAATGGGACAATGATGAAAAACAACCAAGAAGAGATTGACTCATCTGTGGCTACTCTTCATAAATGGTTAACAGAGATCTAAATACAACAATGTCATGATGTCTCAGAGACAACAGATCATTATAATCTACACAAAGAAGCAAGATAAAGTGGTAGAAACAAGGGAGCAGGATGCAGATCTAGAACATCCCTGAAGAAGCAGCAGCATTGGAACTCTCTGATAAGGAATTCAAAAGAATTATATTTAGGTATCTGCAAAGGATTTAGAGACAGACCAAGGAAAACACAGACAAAACCCTAGAAGAATTTTGGAAGGAAATACAAGAACAAAAATGACAAAATAAATGAAAAATTAGAAATGATTCTACATGTACAGATAGAAGTCCAGAAGATTAATACTAAATTGTCAAAATTAGATAACACATTGAAAGGGCAAAGGAGTAGAATTGATGCAACGGAAGACAGAATTAATGAGATTGAAGACAAATACCTAAATACTTCTTTGGAAAGGGATCAATCAGAAA